AAAAAAACCCGATTTCAATATTCGAATTCTATCGGGAGAAAAAAAGCCGCGAAAAAATCCGCAATAATTATGCATCAACCTAATACTATGCTGTATTCCCTGAGCCTAGCCAATTTTCAATATTTCGTAAAAATGTAAAGGGCAGTATATGTTACGGCGAACGACATTTGACTGAATACACCGGTCAGTTGTATAAGAGCTGAGCAAACACCGCTGTAATTCAGGCAGCTTGGACTGAAAACCTTACACATATTATGCGATCGTTGGTGCGTAGCACCCGCTGGCCAGCCGTTCCTTGGTATCCCTTCCTCGAGATTTCGTCCGTGGTATCCCAGCTGCCGGGGGCTACAACAACGTTTCACACGGCACAAAGGAAAATCCTCGGAAAGATAGCACGAAAGCAATGGGAGGCATGCGGCAGCATGCTGGTGTGGATTCGGGCGGATCTGCTTTGCGAAAAGAGGTTTAGAAGATAAGCGATAGGGCGATCCTGGCCTCTACTGAGGGCTCCTGCCTTCTCGTTCTGCTAGAACCCCTCCCTTTACTTTCTAATGCCGAACGAAACTATTGTTTCATCCGAACTGCAAAACCACTGTTCTTCATCGAGCCTGTTTATGAAAACTATAGTACTAACTTTTCAATCCACATCAATAAACATTTCTTTTAAGAAAGAAGTAAAGGGTTTACCAATTTTTCCCCAATTTTCCATTAATTTACCCTTGAAAAAGTACGTCATCTGGAGCGAAACTGCTTGACCGAAGGTTTCATACTACTTCACATTGTTCCCAATACATTCTAAAAATTTTGAAAGGACGTACATAGAGTCATAAATTGTTTATCCATATTCAAATAGGGATCTGGCAACAAGGACATTAGGATAGAGGTGATACGTCATGGCATGGTTACGTGCGTTGAGATGTGGTACGCGGCGCATAGAATACGGTTAGATATAGAAAGTGGCAATCATAACATATCTGTACTCAACAATGCGTCAAATTCTATATAAACAACGAACACATTGGATATAAACAAATATAGGCACCATAAGTGGAAGAGTAAAGATGAAACGGTAGAATGTAGTCATAGAGGGAGTGCCGCGATGATAGCATGATAGGCTTCGGTTATGAGGTATAAAACGATAACTGAGAACCGAGTTAATCTTCTGTTGGCGCCATTTACGCTAACAGGAATACGTCGAGCGGCGAAATATACTATCTATCATAAGAACATATGGAACGAAAATATTACGTAATGGGTACTTCCAATTATACCCACGTTTCATATCGCAAATGAAACAACACTAATTACTGACATTTTTCACTACGCTTTCTTCCAAGTAAAACAAATGCTGTTACGAATTACTCAAAACTTTTCGCTGAATGAGCAGAACTCTGTGGAGAGGTGGAACAGCTTGTAGGTGGAGGAGTGAGAAGGCCTGATGCCACAGCAGCTTGTGCGGAGCAGGATGGGGAGAGCGGGGGTATGGAAGGGTAGGTCTGAAAATGTTAACAATGAACAAATCAAATAAAAAAAGAATATCAGAAGGTAGAAGCAAGAGTCCCAGAAATGAAAGGTTTTGGCGGTCTCATCAAAGAGAATGAACATCGGACTATTAAGTATCATACGTGAATGGTTTGCTCACGAAGAGAGCCCCTAATCAACATTTTCAAAGAGCATGGAGAACAAAAAATATGAGATTCGCGAGCACAAAGAGTGTTTTCGAGAAAAAGCAAAAAATAATACCGAACAATGATGACTCAGGATCTACTTACCCCCACATTCACACCTCGCACTCCTAGTTGCCGTTCGTACTCCGTAAGTTGTCCCATAAAATGAAAGTTTGGAGCAATGCTCGCATTTCTGCGCAATACCAAATCGTATGCGTCTTCCAAGCTCCATCTGTGAATGAACATGAAAACATCTTTTGAGGCAATGGAAAAGAGAGAAGATAGCTAAACATACTTGTTCTTGGCCATGAGATAAGCGAGGCATATTGTGACACTGCGCGAAATGCCCGCTAGGCAGTGCACAAGACAAGCATCACCAGAACGAGCGGCTGCATCAATGAATGCAATGGCTTCTGGAAAACAAATGGGATCAGCAGTAGTCTGAAGATAAGACTGTAGAATCAACTCACCAGGGAAATACTGTGAGAGATTATGGGAGCTGTTGTCGTCAACGGAGATTCTCAAATAATGGTACGCAGGATTATCTTCGAATGTGTTTGGAAGATTCGAGGTCACATTTATTATGTATCGTGCTTTGTTTCTGAAATCAGAATTTCCCTTTATTTCCCATCTACAAATAAACCACACAATTCGTTGTTCAGTGACAACCTCAATGTCAATCAATAAAGAAAAACAAATTTAATTGCTTCCATGGAAACAAGGAAGGCATGCACGAGAATGAAACTTCTCGATGCTACTTTCGTATGAAACCTTCTTTGAAAAGTCTAGAAAACCTAGTCGCTTGCGCAAGACTCATAGATCAGAGGAAAATTCGAGGCTGAGGCGTTAGTAAAGATATTCTGCTGTCTTTCTGGGATACATTCCTTTGCGTTTTGAGGGATCGCAACTGATCTTGAAAATTTTGCGCTGGCCATTAAGCTATTATATTCCATTCTTTTCTTAAAAGTGTATGAAATATTCCAAGATTATGTACTAATATTTGAGGGTAAGTTTTCGGCGGGTTATTTATGGTAAATGTCAAACTTACAGTCAGTACAGAAAGCCGCCATCCCATATAATAGGAAGTACCAATGAAGAAGGAGAAGGAACCTGCTCTACTACTGCACGATTCCAAAATAAAACACAATTCACAAAAAGGCGGGAATGATCGCCAGCACCAGCTTAGTAATGGTGAAGCCCAGTGGCTTCTCCATGATCATTTTGGTTTATTCGTTGTTACGACACTACTATTGCTGGTTATTCTCACTATTCAGTATGAAGCCAAAAGCTTCAAGAAGACTTCCCCAGAGAAATAACAACTATGCAGCCCAGATGTTGAAGAACACTCTTTTCCTGGCGCTCATGTGAGAAGGGACACAGTGTGGGAAGTGGCGTGACCTTCTGAAAAAATCTGGAAAAACGCTTATCAAGCGCTTTTTGGGGACATTGCTGCACCATGCGTGCGAAGGCAGTCTCCTTCCAGATAAGTCATGGCCTCTGTGATACAAGAGCTTCTGCATGGCTGCTCGGAGTATTCTGTGAGCGTGAAAAGCGGACATTGTGTAAATCACGTATGAAATTCCAAAATAGTTAATCCAAAACACTTAATGTCGAATTCTAAGAAATAAAAGATCAAATATTAAGAGATTCACTAATACCTGCAATAAGTATTTTCAATGAACGTTCTGATTAACAATAAGAGCTGCGCAGAAATCACGGATAACCTTTTAGATGCCCCAAACTGCGATGAAGGAGGTACCTCACAAACACGCATAGGTCAGTACGTCATTTCTGGCTTATTGTGAACGCTCCTCTGGTATCAAAATTTATTTATTTGATACCAATACAAGCTTCTACCTATTACCGTTTCATCATGGTCATAACAGGATGAATACAAAGACACTTTTGGAAAAATATTTTCGGAAGGGTATCACGAGGGAGCAAATGCCTACTTCTTGAAATACAAAATTTTTTTATTGTTTCATTTCTAGGGAATCGTTCTTTGAGTTTCCCGTTGGACTAGCTCATGTTTCATTGGCTTTGTCATGATGACTCCCAGTGCTCCCACACGCAGTTTCGGCCACATGTAGTGATTTTGGAATGTCGATTTTTTTTCAGAAATGGTGAATGGAATGAGAAGCTTTTGATTTTGTGGTTTCTGTTCCCAATATCACTCATATACTGAAACTGAGCAAAAAAAAAAATTTGGAAGTAGAGCGTAATGTTCTGCTGCTGCTAAATGTAAACAGCAATTAAAGCTGTCATTATCACTGCGAAGGACAACCCACAATCAACCGCAGAATCCTACCCTGAACGTCGAAACGCTGCTTGCTATTCGTTCCAAGTGAGATTGCATTGAATGGAAACCAATTTTCTCCTTCATTAGATTATTAGTAAATTAACATCGAATTTTTGCTAGTCTCTAATAGATTTCGCGGAACTAATTAGCCTTCTTTTAAGTGACAATAATCAGAGCGTATCCTGTGAAGCTCTTTTCATTAGCTTAACAATCTCAGATTGACAGGAAAGAGCTCTTGCATAATTCCTCATAGATACACGAATCCAATAAATTCCTAAAGATGGATTTGGCAAAGCATGATACACTCAAGAAATCGCATATGGCTATGAAAAACTGTAATCAAAAGCAAGTGAATGTGTCAGAATTGGAATTAGTAATTCGGTATCACCGTAACAGCGTTAATTCTGGAATTACTACATTCGAATCAGGCATAAATCACAGCTATCGAGTGCAAGAAAACAAAAACTAAACAGAATTTAGGGAGAGTAGAGTCTCTACAAANAAATCTATGTGATTTCCAGTTCCATGAATTGACGAATTTCTACAGCATTTCTTAGCGTCAATATTTCTAGACAATATATAAACTTGCTTGATGTTGGGAGAACATTTATTAGCAGAAACTAGCATGAGCAACTTTAGGCCATATTGAACAGCGTGATTCCCCACCCAATGCTTTCATGTTTCTTATATAATCTTGCCTGATGAGCCAGTGTTTTCTTTTTTGTTTTGTTTTGATTACCCAACCTTGAACAAACTAATTTCGCTTACGCTGTCAATCGCTCCATCTTGAAAAAAAAACAGTATCTGTTTCATATTTGGTACCAAGGCAATAGCGGAAACGAAATCAGAAACTTATTCAGAAAGAAAAAGTATGATTAGCCAATACAGCTAAGCTACAGTTTAAAAAAGGCTTCTTTCCAACTTTCGAAGTTAAACTTGTTGAAATTTAAGTGGTTAAAATAGAAAAAAGTAATGGTTCTATTAAATAAGTTAGGGAATTGTCGGTCATCGATCATAACTCAACATCGTTGTGGTACGATATTTGAACACATTAGAGATTTTTATGTTCTTGAACACCTGTGATTGAACAGCCCAGATGTTCCGTGACATTAACATAAAACTGAAATGTTTCGAAATCATTATCAATTTTTACGAGCATCTCTATGACCATTGCGACAACACTTCCCCTTCAAAACAGATACCGTTATAGGACCGATATTGAAATATACACTAGGTAGCGAACGAAGGGATGGTAAGCCAAGCCGTGAATCGAACCAACACTTAACAAAACCACGACATACATCCAAGAATAGTTTTTATTAAACTGTAAAAACAAATGCCTACGTACCGTTCCAAGACTTTGGCATCGCTGGCTGTTTCATAGTTTCCAAGTAACAGATGAGGAAGTATCTTCACAGGAAAGTTTTGGCGCTTATCGGTAGAAGGAGTAGTGCCAGCAGGTTCAATTCGTAGGGCGCTGAATACATTCCTGTGCTAGAGTGACCCCATACAAAAAAAGTAATACGACATACTTCAAATTCAGACATCCTACGTCTCCAGCTGACCGAGAGTTTGGTCGATCTTCATCCACCCTCAGCAAAGGAAATGATGAAAGAACTGATTCAACGGGATCTGAAAGGAAATCCAGTTAATATTAGGAACTGGGCGCTGTAGAAGAAAAACGAACCGCCTAAAACTCGGTAGCTTATGTTTGCCTTTCGAAGAGCATTCGAAAGCGCGTTAGAGGTATCAGCGTCAGGTCCATGTTCTGGCACTATCACCACTTTCACATCAGCATTGTTCAGCCGTGGTGATAAAGTGGAGAGCGATAACGAGCAGTTAACCAACCGCCGGAATAAAACTTTTGGAAGCCGAACTCTGAAAAAAAAANNNNAAAAAAAAACTAGGTGAAAATGGAGAGGAGGGTTATTCAAAGCCTTTTTAGGTTGAATCTATTTTCTTTCGTTGACTATCTGACTACATTATAATAAACCTGTTTGCGTTCCGAATGGCAGACCCTCCTTCACGACAATCCAGTATGCACGTGGAAAGCGGTTCCTTGCTCAACAATTGTTCGAGCTCCTTACCACTTATACCCTCTTCCTGTTGAAAAGATGTGGATGGAGATGGTGTACTCACCATATCTGTAAAGATCTTCTCTAGAAAAGCACGCATTAAAAACTGATGGAACTTGAGAGCATCGAAAACGCTATAGCAAGAACAATTGACAGTGCTATTCATCATGATTTCCGGAAAAAATTCAAAGGAAAAAAATTGATCACTGCAGATCTTCCGTTTTTTTTTCAGAAAAACACGGCCGGAAGGGCGAAGGTGGAGTAGTGCTGTGCATGCGTGCCCAGGGATCAATCCCGGATAAATACATCGGTAAATACCTGCCCAAAAGAAGCAAACCTTCAATCTCTCCGATGTGCTTTAACTGATACCAGAACGTCTGGAATGATAAAAACACTGACTTGCACATCAACTAGCCCCCGCAAATCATTGGGTAAGCCACATAAACATACAAAACACACTGCATTCTGAGTAGAAGTCGCATGCGGGGGCGCATTCCCAATCGTGAATGATTAACTTCGAAGACTTTACTTCATTCAAGGCCACACCAATGAGACCATCATGAGGACAGACCATAAAGTATCGATCTGATAACTAAACTATAACAAAACAATTGTTGAAGTTATTCAATTCCGAATTCTACTCAAAACCATAATTGGGCAAAACTAGTTCTGGAGAAACGGTATTTGGAGGAAGCATTTTTGCGTATAAAAATAGACGGGAAGTGGCAGACAGAATAAACACGACTATCGTTCTATAATAAGCAGGCGAAGAGCACTCGCCGGAAGCGGCCGCCCCTTGCCCACCCACGCACAGCGGTTGGCACCCCGAGTCGGCATCACTGCACTACGAAGAATGGCAAACACACAAGCGAAGGTAAGGGAAGAATTGCATGGTGTGAATGATAGTTAGGAATTGATAGAGAATTTGAAGCTGAATCTCAAACACGTGAGCCAAATCCCCTGTTTTTTGAGAAAATGCGGTACTTCCCATGGCAACTAAGTCGACCCCATCGGCAATGGACGAAATGTGTTTTAAAGCCCAAAAGTGAGAGAGCTCGTGGCAGCAATCCAACAAATCATGACAGCCAGATTCGATGAACAGTTGTCGGGATTAAAATTACACGGACAGGTAACCTGAGCAGCTGCCTGACGGAGGATATTGGTGAGTCAGTTTGGGCACAAAACCGAGAGAAGGGAACAAAGAGAGAATGGACACGTGTAGAAGCACCGTTGAAAAAACGGAAAGCGGAAGTAGGCACAGCATGCATACAATGTGAGTGCAAAGGAAAAGCACGAAAATGATGTTTATTTGAATTTCATAAGCGATAAATGCAAATGGCGGTTATGACGATGTGGTTATGTCAGCAGTGTCGAAGAGCAGGTCTCAGCTGTCATTCTACTGTTCGATGAATTCCTTCCGAAACAGGTTTTTTCGAAGGAACGACGAACAAAAAAGGCAATAGCAGCACATAGGGGAACGGAAATGTCAATGCGTGCGGCCTTAACGATGTGGGCGGTGTCTGGGCAACTTCAGTCTGGGCGACGGACCCGCCGCTTACGCAGTTCGATACCGCCTCCCTCATTCGCCCATCACCGCCAACAGCAGCACGGACTCGTGCCACGGGAATAATGCTCTTATGCGACTCGTGCACAACACTCACCATGCATGTGACTGCTCCGAGCTCTCACAACTCATTAAGTCCTCTCATGCATGCCAATTCGTCGGTACAGCGAAGAAAAACGAAAGAAAACTGCAGTTGTTAATGCTTTTTAACTGCACTCGTCATATGCACTTTCACAGTTTGTAAGAGACATTCTCGGGAGAGGAGGGGTCTTTCTCGACTGCATTCAAAGGGGTTGTAATACCAAAAGTGAACTAAGAAATTTTGAAGCGCGCAACGCTGTACTCACACTTTCCCCACCGCATCCCCTCAAACCTGGAAAACTCTCGAATCCATGTGTCTCGGAACGATGGAAGAGCAAACGAAGAACTAGTTGGTCGTAAAGCGAAGAGATGAACGGAAGAAAAAGAAAAAAAGAGCAGATCAAAGTTGAGTAGTGGCAGAGAATTAGGCGTAGGACTCAGTGTTTGTGTGCAACTCCAACAAAACATTTGTTCTTACGCCTCCTTTTATACGGCAGCAGTGCGCCGAGGCTTAGCAACGGGAAGTAGTGTACTTCTTCCGTTTCTTTCTTCCAAATCGGTGTGTTAGTGAAAATCTAGTTGAGGGGGGGGGATGCGCTCTTCCCCAGCATTGAGCGATAGAGCGTAAAGAAGGGGAAGTCGCTTCGCGGGTCCAAAATGGTACTTGGGGACGTTTCTTTTTGTTAGCCGAGAAACTATGGTTTTTTAACCTAAGCCGTAGAAGGGCAGGAGCACCAGGGTGGACAAAAGGGTAAAGGATAAAGTCTTGGGGCGTCAATCAACCCGTCCGGGGGATGCGGCCACCCACTAAACTTCCATTCAGAAATCAGGGGTAGGGTGGATGAGTCAACTGAATGTTCAATTCTTGTCGCGCACGTAATCCTCCATCCTCCTCGGCGCTCCTCCCCCACACCTAAGATCTTAAGGCTTGGGTGAGTAATAAATTTCTCTGGTTTGAAATCGTCTGTAACCACAAGCAGGGTAGGCTGCCCATCCCAATGGCCCAATGGGCTGCTCATTGTGGCAACGTGAATTAAGAGCGGAGTTTCTGATCCCCACCCCCTAACCACATTTTCACCGTCGACGTAATTTGCTCAATATCTGTGAGGAGATAACTAGTGGTCGCTTGGGATTTCTAGCATGAGTGTAAACCATTGCTGGCTGAAATATTGGACGAATTTGTTGTTCAATAGACAGCAGAGAGACTTCAGAACTATCGGTGTAATATGAGTAACTAATAGAAATGCCTCACCTACTGTGCTAGAAAGAACCCAAAAAAGCATTCTGTAGAAAAACGTAGAAATCACTATTCCTGCGACAAGCATGAATTTGTTACAAGGTATGTGTTGCTAACGCTGGAGTTTAGTAGTAACCGAACTGCTCCGAATATTCCTTATGCTAAGTACACACGAGTTAGTGGGAAGGGATAGGGGAGACGAGCAGTGGGATCGGTTTTGTGTAATTGATTCGCCGCGCGCGGCAGTCGCGNACCATTCGCCTCGTTATTGCAGTTCTAGCGTTCTTCATACAGCTCAATCGAAATGCAATTATTATTTTTGGCATGATTCTAATGTTAGTCATTTGGTCCTGTATTTCCTATTTGCTGCTGCATTCTCCACATTTCTTCACGCGCGACGTCTCTCTCGCTGCGACGCGACGATTTCGATCCTGCTGCAGCACACCCGGGAGACAGGAGATTGGATCGTCGGAGTGGGTCGAAGCCATCCCCGCTCTTATCCACTCGCACAGCTTCTGAATAGAACTCTTCGTGCTCTAACCATCCATTGACCATGTTAATAGTGATCTCCCTCTTTCCTGAGATTAGGTATGTAATCCTCGAAAAGAGGGGAGTTCAAGCATGTATGAAGTGGTCAGTCGAAAAGTATATCGTTTATGCTTCCCCTGAACGAGCCTAAAATGAAATGATTCATACTTAATGAAGATTCACTGTTTAAAGTGTTTATTTTTTGGTATTTCAGAAGAATCAGACCATCTAAAACTTTAAGAAGTAGAAGCTTCACTGATCCCCGCAAGAGTGAGAAACAACAGAGGATTGCGCATGGCCTTTGGCTCATATGACCGCAGGTGACCCGAGTTTGCGAAGGGTCCAGTTCACCCAGTGTCTGCATCCTGTTTTTCTTTCTGCTCAGCACCTTAGCAGAATCTGTCTGCTGTACTTGTAGCGCTCTTTCAGCTCCGTCTTCTACAGAAGAACAGTAGGGGACCTCACGCTTCAAATTGCTACTTATAAATATTTCAGGTGGACCATGAAAGGGTTTTAGGGCTTTTACAGCTGTGAACAGTTGCTGGAGAGAAAAGTACATTTCTTACTATTCGTCACTGCGGCTTGCCCTGGTTGCCCCAGACCATATCATCCACATCGGGCCTACATCAATGACGTCATCCAAATCTGTACAAATGATAAGTACTCTTTGAACAGGCCATACAGGAATAGTCAGTCCAGATCCTTGTTCTCCAGTGAACTCGTTTCTAGTCATCGGGGTGTGGTGAAGAAAACACCCAAACAGCGTACGGGAAAGAGGAGTAAGAAGGAAATCAGCACTACAAAGCAAAACAGCGGAAAAGTGATGTTCGATGTCTTGCGAGATTGTCGTCTTTTCGGAAGGCAAATGAACTTCCGGATATTTTCGGGTAAAAGTCGTCAAAACATAGTATATCCCAGTATGGAACACAGAAAGAACTACAACCTTTGTGTGAGAAGAGAACCGAACAAATTGCTTCTCATTCATTTCATATCAAAACAAAGAATAAAGCCCCAAGCCCTCTGGCGTTCATTAAACCCACTTCCGGTGTGCATCCCGGCATTCAACATCCGTTTGGAATGCTGATGGAGGTTTGAGTGCATATGTGCTTCGCAGCGGCAGAAGCACAGGTCAGGGCTTCTATCTTTCAGACGAGTCCGAACCGTCGAGCGATGGAAAACCTGCCTGGCCTGAGCGAATATCAATCAAGGACTCGATCTTCGATCCGTGGTTATGTCAGTGTATACACCGACTACTACAGACCTCCTCTCGCCATTTCCCGATCATAACCACTTTTAGAGAATAAGCTATCCGACAGTTACTTTTTTTCACCTCTCGTTCCGTTAGTTCCTATATTTCACTCTCAAATAGTATGAATTAGAAAAGCTTTCACAAGGAATAGCCGTTATGTTATCGGAATGTGCTACCAAAAGAACCATTCTCAAAAAAAGTGGGCTCAGATCGAGGGGGATGATAAAAGCTAAGCATTTAAAGAGGTTCAGAAGAAAATCGTGAGGGCTCAAAAAACTTCCACTTTCGGAATCGTTCCAACCAGGTTCTACTCGGCAAACTCAGTCACTGGGTTCCTATTAGACAACAGAATAAGGATTACGCAGGAAAGAGGTAGATTTGATTGAACCCATGATTCAGAAATCAATT